CTTTAGTATAGGTTAGCAAAATTCAGCTGAACTAGTTCTGGTATAGGCTAAGGGTTCCAGGGTCCCAGCGGCACATCCCCACTCAGAAATTCCTAAAGTACCTTCCTCCCTCCCGGGCTCAGGGTGCACGTGGATTCTTCGAATCCAACCTTTGATGTACCATGATCCGAATGATCTTGGATTTATCTGTTTAGTAACTGTATAAAGAAACACAATTGAATTTAAGAATCCAATCTCAGATTTCCCCAAAGAAAAGTAACCACATCTCAGTGTAAAGGCATACATAAGAAGGATTATAGGTCAAAAAAATCTGCTTAAGTGGGTCTTGAACGACAAACTTGATCGACGAATTGAAGCCTTAGTGCGTGTGATAGCTCTTCCCGTTTTTGCAATAGACGCATGAAACGGAAACTACATAATTTTGGACGAATTATTCGTGTCCAGTGTAAGCACAGCACTGTGGCAGTCCTCAATATCTGCAATAATTGAAATTAAAGCCATTTTTTTCGTGTCCGATCTAGTTTATAGGGACTCTTTGCTGACGTTGGTGATTTTACCTTAAGGACCAACAAACAGCTTTACGACGTGTAGCCTGAGAAGGCAGCATGCTATCTATGAATCGACTGCAACGTTCTAAGAGCTTGCCTCACTTGAAAATCGGCGAAACGGTTAACTCCACGGGCTATAATGAAGGTGATATTGGCTTTCAAACACTGCCAAACAGTGCTGATAACCCAATTAAATCCCTTGCAACATCTCGAGTTGACAAAAACACATTACACAAAAAGTATTTAATACATTGGAACCATGCTCTCAGTCAATCAATCAATCAATCAATCAGTTAATCAATTAATCAATCATTTATTTTAACACGTTTCGTCGAGGAGCTAAGAACTTGTTCAAAATATGAACGTGTATAAATGAGAACTATAGTAATTACAGCTAATAATATTATTCTATTCTAGCTAATAATGTTATTAAAGGCATCAATGTTGTTAAAGACACCCGCTTATTTCAGGCAATATTTATTCATCCCAACGAAAAGATTGTGTATTTTCTCTTTGGCTCCGTCCACCATACGCTGGAGAAATTTGAAAATGCGGCTTTCTTTCTACGGTTAGGCTTACCGTCCACACTGATCTATCACGTAAATGGACCTTTGTGAAAATGCTCTTCGAATCAACCTGGATGAATTTGAAAACACTTGCGCTATAGTGTACACGAAAAACATTTTGAAAACGGAGCTTTCTGAAAACGATGACGTTACGATAAACGTGATAACAACCGGTGATCGTTGCGTTTTCAGATTTCTCCGGCGTAGTGTTGATGAAGAATGAAAACGCCGTTTTCAAATGTCTCCGGCGCAGTGTGGTTTGCCCTTCCAATTAATACGGACTACGGACGTTTGCTCGATGCAGTTCAGGCAATTCAAGTCACAGACTATTCAAATGGTTACGAATCTGGTAACCATTTGCGAGGCATTTCTATATTTGAATGAGTGTAAGGTTTTCAGATTGAACTCAACTTAGGGTGCTTTTCAAGGGGGAAATCAAAGATTGGATTCTTAAATCGAAATGCGTTTCTTTATATCGTTACTAAGATCACTTGGATCATGGCACATTAAAGGGACACAGTCAGCTTTGGGACCGTGCTAACCTGGACGCTAGTTTTCTCACTTTGAAAAAAGTTCACCTCAACCTGAAATCAAAGTACATCTAGAAATCCGCTTCAATCTTCGCAATGTTTTCCTTGATTTTCAACTGTTTAATGAAAAACTTGTTTTTGAGTGTGCTTTTGCTCATCCTATGATAATATTTTTATCATATTTGGTTAAAAAACAGTATGGATCGCGTCTCTGTGATATGCAAATTAGCTATGAAATGGTATCTAATGCGCATGTGCGCAAGCTGACTGTGTCCCTTTAAAGGAACCGAAGAATCTACTCTAAGCAAGGTTTCTTCGGTTCCTTTGATGCACCATGGTCCGAGTGACCGTGGACTTTCCCAGAGAAAAGCACCCTTAAAAGTTACAGTTAAGGCTTTAAACATCAGTCAGTTTCATTTAAATTGTATGCTTTAGTCTTTGCATTGACTTGAAATCTGTCCGTGAGGTCTAACGTATGAATTGTGCGAATGAATCCCATGAATTCCCCCCACCAGTTGTCATGACCACTAATGGAATTGCAAAAGCTTTGTATGACTGAAAATTAAACAAACATTTCACCATTTGCAATTCAAATCGAAGCATATGAGCAATTTAGCGGTCAAATTGTAATCTTTGAGCCTCTACCGAGCCTTTTTTATTTCTTATTATCTTAAGTTTTCGCTTTAAAACGTAGCTGAACCACAAATACAGGCAGACTTGCCTGAATTTAAGCCGTCGATTTGATTCAATTCACTCTGCTTAAACTCTGGCTGCAAATAGAAGTAATAGAATTTGATTTGACGAGCGTTCATTTCCATAGCGTTATCACACCATAACGACAAATTTCTTTAGAAGATACCGATAGCTGTAACAAAAGCTTCACAGCCGTTATTTTTGGATATAGTATTGTGGCCTCGTTATACTCACGAACGCTTCCATTGATATTTAATTTAGTCATGGACAAATTAGACGTTATTTCCAAGCGCGAAACCTCGAGTAAAAAGCAGTTAGGCATCTATTCATGGGAACCTTTAGATTTTTATTGAACTCCAGAAAGTTTTCCTGAAGTCTCAATATCGGGGCATTTGGCTTTCCTGCGGTCAAAGAAGGCCGACACAAAAACGCAGCCGAAATGTACTCATATACAAAAAAAAATAACCTTTCATGACCGGTGGAAGTTGTACCGGCATCATATCAGAAGGGTCTCAGAGGGTTACCTGTAAACATAAACTGATAAAACATTTCGTGACCGGTGGAATTTGAGCCTAGGTGCACGATAGTTGCCATACCTTAGTTAGTTTTCAGTTGTCTGTAACATTCGAGTATCACTGACATCTTCCGTGAGGATCCCGCAGTTTCCTTCTTACTTTGCCCAGCTTAAGCACTGAACACTCTGAAGAACAATCGTGGTTATCACTGCCGAGATTTGTTTGATATACTGACTCCATTCAGATGCAAATGAAAAACTTCTTTTATGCACTTTAAAAACAAATCTGCATATTTATGCTCAGTATGTAATTGTCGCGTAGCACAAAACCACAACAGGCCATTTTCGAGTTGCCTTTTTCCAGTGTTTCTTCACGAGTGCTCGTGAGTCCTCGTGCAAAACTAACTGAAACGAGTGTGATCGGCATGAAAATGACGCTATGACTTGATACGCGGGACCGTAATAGGCAACTGTTTGTTTTATCGGACAGCTGTAATTTACATCCTTTTCTAGTCAGTCTATTATTAATACAAGTCCTTAAACCAACTCAAGCGGATAGTAACGCGACCAAGGCCCCGTCCACAATGCAATGCGCCGGAGGAATTTGGAAAGGGAAGTTTCACTCTGAAAATATATCGAATGCTTTCCGTCCACACTACGCCGGAGAAATTTGAAAAAGCAACAATTGCTGGTCATTTTGTATTTGTGTTTGTAGAAATCTCGGTCTGGGAAATAACATAATTGTCGTGGCGCCATCGTTTACGAAAACTGGCTCCGTTTTCGAAATGTTTTCCCTCCACACGAAAACGAAAAGCCGGCGTTTTCAAATTTCTCCGGTTTCAAGAGCTTTTTCGGAAAGCTTCTTTTCCACGACGGATTCAGTAGTGTTGGACGGTAAGCCTAACCGTAGAATAAAGCTACGTTTTCATATTCCTGCGGCGTTATGTTGTGAAGAGCAAAACAGAGGAAACAATTTTAACAAATAATTGGAGGCGAAAGTTTTCACATGAAAATGAAATTATATTTAAGCTGGCCCGAACCTTTTTATGCGTTGGTTACATGATTTTTGACTCGCGCGTTTTAGCAGAAACGCTTTTTTCCGATTTCTTTGATTTTTGTTATCTTAAATCATGATGCAAAATATTTCAGTTTTGGGGAATTTGACGAGAATGTGTTTGGCGTGCACGTTGTAACGGAGAAGTTTTCTAACATGCTCTTATTCTCAACGCTTGTAAAAATACACTTTTTGTTATTGTAAATACTCTTCCACTTTGTAGAAGTTGGCATATACATGTTGGTATATATTTTTCATTTTGCATCATCTTATGTTAAGCGTTAAGTTAAATTACTCGGATGCATTGTGCTTAATTGAAGCCCTTGTGTTTGGTTGAAGTTCAGCACTAATTGGAACCAAATATTGACTTGAATGGCTTTGAGCTAAGAGCTGAACTTATCTTTTGTAATGTCTTCTGCAATATTTAACAAGCCAATGTGTTCCTAGGCAACTGGCCTTAAAAGATTGTTTTGTTAAACTTTGTTCGGGACCAATACGGCTGTACGTTTTTACCTCAAACCAGTTGACTTTATTTTCTAGCAGATAATAATGACTTAGTTTGGAATCTCAAAGTGTTTTGAGTTACTTAAATAAATCCGGCAATCCGTTTTGAAGCCATACCAGTTGATATCAGCGACTAATCGTGCCTATAACAAAATTCTTGATTCTGATTGGTGCACGGTCACGTGGGTATCCAATTACAGGTGGACGCTTCCCCTTATTCCTCTCGCCTATAGCCCAACCACTTATTAGAATTTTTTTTCTCCCCAACCTTCCTCGGCTTCAACAATTCAAGATGGCGGCCAAACATTTCGCAAAGAAATACTGAGCTTCCGGTGAAATACATATCAAGTTAGTCTGCCCTGACTTATAGTTTCCAGTAAACATTCACGAAAAAAGAAATTTTGGAATCGCTGATTTTCAATGAGAAGTAATCGCAAAAGTTATTTCTGTGCACACGCGTGTCGCGTGATTGTGCTGCTTTTGACGCAACTGATTCATCTAACCTACCACACGTTCTTTGATCATGGTAACTTCTGTATACCCTTCCCTCGGTATAACTCTGCTTGTTGGCGTTTTCTTAGACATTTTTTTTAACTGACAAATAATATAACTTTGGCCCTAATTAGCTGGGTTACAATTATAGAAAGTTACCTTAATTAAAACGCCTACACATTATCTTCAGTCAACACACCCGATATGCATAGAAAAATGCGAAGCAGCTGCCTCAGTCAAACAAACAAGTTTAATTTTTCAAAGCATTTATGTCTCGACAAAAGAAGTTAATTATTTCCGAGAAGTCCGAATGTAATTCAAGTGCATTTTTACCTATTTTCCGTGGGAAAAAATAAAATAGCTGAACGACTGATTGATCGAATTGAAGGTTTACGACGATCGAAAGAGCTGCAGAATACTTAAGACTCGAATAGACAAGAAACAAACGAACTTTGTTTGCTTTGAACAGCTTCTTAACAATTTGTCTGATACAAAGATTTTTAAAAAAGAAAAACAAAATACATGAAACTCACAATAAAACTAACAGAACTCTTACATGAACAAGGTTTTAAATAGGCCAATTGACCCCTCATCGTGAGATGACATAGAACTAATAGAAATAAAGCTTTTACGTTTCTTACTATGTATTTTGCATCCGTTTTTTTTGTCATGATAATAATCAAGTTTTAAGAATGAATGAATGCTAGACCAGAATACTTTACCACCAGAGGTTCATTCTTTGAAACTGCAATGAACTAAAATCGACTATTTTAGCTTTAAATTTAACTCGCATTTTAGCGCAAGAAGGATTTTTACACCCGAAGTGCGAATTTTAGAGATTCGATTTTAACCTAATTGAAATGAGATGGGCCGATATAGCTTTAAAGTAAGTTCATAAATTGCTATTATTAAGACAATGAATTGCAAAATTATTTCCTCACTGACTTTTCTGTTTTGTCTAATAGGCCATAATTATTTTCTGTACTTTTGGACCTCTTCTCGTAGAAGCAGGTAAGTTGTATTATTGCATTTTTACCATAATCTGAAGGATTGCATACTCTTGGCAGCTGTGTGCTGATTTAGTTTTTCGTAGGCGGCAGCAGTTGCTACCTGAAAAAATCGAAATTGAAAATACTCTTTGTTTTTCAAAATGCAATCTAAAAAGTCGTCTATAGTATTTCGTTCTCGCGTCAAAAAAAGTCATAGAATGAATTCGATTCTCTTGCAAACTCCATGCCTCACGACAACTTCACCTGAAGTTTCTTTGGTATAAATATTTCATTTGCGTTCTAAAATTAACTAAAAGTGAAAACGGAGAACATTTTTTACAAACAGCAAATTCCACTTGCTGGATACGTTGCTATCTCATGGTGAAGTTGCAGGGACTGCAAATGTTTTGAAGCCGTTAAGTCAATTCAAACTTGCTTATTTTGAGAGAAATATGAGTTATCGAGAATCTTATGATAAACGTAATGCCTATAGATAAAAACCAAGATTGAATTTGGAAGCCTTTTTAAAGTTTAAGAAAGGTTCGTTACGGCTCGGTCGATAAGTAGCTAGAATTGATCCTTTGTTAGGGCTTCAAGGCTGGAAAGCGTTCGCCTAAATATAAATTTTCGAATTCACGTTGGTGTTCCATCTTGATTATCCCCAATCCGAACATTGTTGTTTGTCTATTGTTTATTACGTCAGATTCCTTTCGAAGTTTTCCTTGATTTCAAGTAGCATCTGTATACAAGACTCCATCATAATCAAAAAAGTCGGTCAATTCGAAAAAAGGTTTCTAAGAAGTGGTCTTAGTAGAACTTGAAAACCAAACAAAGCCCAGTTAGTAAGTCTCACGGAGGTCAAAGGACTCGTTTTTTGCTGTTACTAGAGAAGTTGTTTGCGTCATGAAAAATGACCATGACTCAATTGATTATCGATGATTAGGCTTTTTTATCTCGTTACTATAGCATCAACTGAAGAAAAGGTGGCGGAAGTAAAAGTGCTGAAAAACGCTGGAAACCGTTGCGAGTCCTCTTTATTGAGGGAGCTTTTTAACGCGAAGTTTTTACGGAAAAATAAAAACGCTGGGGCGCGCTGGTCGCTTACGACTTCGTCTCAGGACTATGGTGTTAAAACTATGACGCTCAAACGTTGCTGTTTTTTGTTTTGTTTTGTTTTTGTTTTGTTTTGTTTTTTTTCCAGTTGAAATATTGGGTAGATGGAGCCTAGACGAGCTGGACAACGGCCAACTTATAGAATCACTAAGTCAGAATGCTTCCTCCACCGTACTGGTTACTCGCGAGGGTGCCACAAATACTCGTTTGGGGGTACTGAGCGTAGAAGACGTCAACCATTTGAGTATCGCTGTTCCCAACAGCGACTGTCTTGTGGATCTTGATGCATGTGGAGAAGGTCTTGGTGTCTCTTTCTGGATAAGATTCAAAGGTTGAGTATCACTATAAGCTGCTCTAAGGGATTTGCAGGGTAATTTAAGCGTTTTTTTCGACTCGCCCTTCGCGCTCTTGGACGTGCTCATGCTTTTGTATCGCGATACGTGCCCTGTCCCGCTAATCCACCTGCTCACATCAGCACCAAAACATTTTCTTGAAAATGTATGTTGTTTACTGGATTGGGCACATAAGGGACTATCTCAGTCCAAATACGCTTCATGCCTGCAATCAGACATTTATACGAGCACTAAACCGAATAAAATGAACTAAAATTTTCCGTTGCGTTCGCTCTGTGGTGTTATTTATCCTGTCGATCTTAACGGGTACTCTCTTCCTTTCTTCCCTTCAGTTTTCAAACGTGTTTCGAATAGTTCGGAGCTAAGTACCTGATTGTGCATTATCAGTCATACTCAGAACATAACGGTCTTTATTGAGTGCTGTAAAACCAAAACCGGCCTCAAGAGTCCTCATGGGCCCGATGAAGATGAGTGAGTGAAAATCAAAACCAAAGTAATCACGCTAGCCGATCGCAAAGGACACAGTCAATACAATTAGCCAATCAAACTCGAAGAATTACATGTAGCTGACGCGAAGCGCGGGAGAATGTCTGCGAACGCGTCACAATTGTTTTGGTTTTACTTCTGATTGGGCGAAAAAGTAGCGCGATATCTTTAAGCCAATCGTGTATCATAGAAAGTGCAAAACCGATTACTTTTCGTTCCTGATTTGTGAGTTGTAATGCCTAATGCGAACACGTTTCACAGTGAAACACGCTTCAATCGTGACTGGAATAAAATGTACCGGACTAGCTAGTGTGAACGCGGACATTAACTTCCCACAATGCCATTGTGTGGTTACGTCTGCTTTATACATAGCCACGCAATATTCCTCTGTTATCGTGTGGCCTTTTCGTGACGACCCTCACAATGGCTTTAGATGCAAGGTGTAAACGATACCTAGGTGGACATTTTTCTGTTTTCTTTAAACAGGACTTATATCAGACATCATTGGAGACACTTACAACCAGGAGACCACATTGAGAGGCTGGTTAGATGTTGTCACGAGTCCTGAGTTGCGTTGGATAAACTGTTATCGAGCGGCAGAACATG